CCCTATGGGTTCCCAAAGAAGCTCATCAAAACTCCAGTGCTCACTATATGCTTTTAAAAAGAGGCCAAACTCAGGAGCTGGCGGGATTTGATTTTTATTTAAAAAACAAAACAAAACAAAACAAAAAAAAAACCCTCCCGATCTTCCACCTGCTCTGCACCCTCCCGCTCACCAGCAAACTGATAACCCAAATCAGAACATTGAAAAAGGCTGAATTTCATGAAGTAATGTTTTAAGGTTGCCTTTAGGTGGGTTCTTATCCAAGATGTGTGCACTCCCAACAGAACTGCCACCCAGATTAGACATTGTCTCCTGCCTTGTGCCTTCTGTAGCATCAAATGGATGAACATTTATTACTGAGCTACATAAATTTTCTTAGAAAAAAGAACTAATATTTGCTGAGTACCTACCATGTATGAGACGCTCTTAACCATTTCACTAACATTGTCTCATTCAAACCATCTTAAACCTAGGTGACAAGGCAAAACCATCTCTTCTGTGTGACAATAGGAATTAAGGCCCAGAGATACTGAGTAATTTGGCTGCCAAATTTCTCTGCCACAGCTGATAACTGTCAGGGCGGGACACCGAATCTAAGACTGTCACCTCCAATGTTCCTACTTTCCAGCTATGGCTCCAGCTCAAACCCCAACTAAGAAAATAGTTATATTTCAGCAAACAGCAAAAATACTCATGTTGGAAGAATGCTGGCATGTGAAATTGGTGTTCTAGGACAAATCATGTCTAGGGATTGGGTCTTGAAAAAGGTAGGTCCAAACTTTAGTGTATAGAGAATTATCCAAGGTAGGAGAGTCAAAAAATGGAAAATGAAATTTAAAAATGAAAAACTAAAAAATGTTGAGGCCCCACATCCAGTGGTCCCAGTTTTTCTGCAGTATGTGGGCCCAGGATTTTCATTTATAACAAGCATGTCCAGTGACTCTGAGTCCAGTCTGTAAGGCATTCTTTGAAGACTGGGTCCTGGTTCCAGGTCCGATACAATTTTCCTGTATGACTCTGGGCAACCTCGTTTATCTCAGGGGACTCGGTTTCCTCATCCAGAAGAGCAGAAGGGTTGAATAAAGTGTATTTTCTTCACTGTCATCATTAAAGTATGTTACTTATATTGTCTCCTAAAGTTACTCCCCCAAACACAACGGAGCGTGGATTTTCATGGCCACTGTTTTGGAAATGGTAGAAATGGGTGTTCAGAGCACATGAGTGGCTCGTGCAAGAGCACACGGTGTGCCTCTGATCTGAGCCAGAGTGATTATATCACAGTCCTGTGCTGGCAGTTTCCCCCAAGTTCAGTGCTCCAGCGTAGCACTGGACTTAGCGATATGTCAGGTTCAAAGATTCATTTTTGCAAAATGACCAGATTTCAAAAGACATGGTTAGGAGCGTCCACTGGGCTCGAGGTAGTGATGCTTTCCTGGGAGGGTTTTCAATAATGATGGGGGCTGTTCCCAGGGCTGGGCATGGGCAGAGCAACAGCAGTGACCACTAGGGGGCGGCGTGCATGGGAAACCTCAGAGAAAAATGAATAGTGGCCCCCAGGGTGTGATGTTTGCCATTTCCCACTCTGGCAGACATGGTTCATCTCCCAAGGGAGCTATAGTCAATGCGGATGGAAACAGGAAACCTTCATCTTCAGAGACCTTGCCATTTCTCCTTGGCAGCTACCCCTTCCTTCTCCAACCTCCCCAGGTGGCATCCACCCCTCCACCTACTCCTCCGCTCCTGCCCTATGTTCCCAGAGCAGGTTCCTAGCAACATTCATGCCCCTGGATATTAAGATGTGAACTGGTTTTCCTGAAGAGAAAAGAGATCAGACATCAAAAGTGTTTGGGGAATGATGTGTTAGAGTTTGACCTTTTTGTTAGCACGAGATTTTCCAGATCCTTTCATGGGCTCACCTGATAATAGTTCTAAAGATACCAGTAATAGCCTTCATGTGGTTATCACTTTCTGAATGCTAGGCACTGTGACATGCGTTGTACAAGCTACCTCATCTTCAGAGCAACCTAGGCAGGAGGCGACACTATTGTCCCCATTTTGTAGATCAGAAAACAGGCTCAGAGGGGTCGGCTGACTTGCTGAGGGTCACAAGAGTACCCAACAAGGAGACGGTGATTGGAACCCAGGTGTGCTGAGGCTAAGCCCGTCGCAGACTGCATATGTCCCCCTTTCAACAAGGTGGCAGGGTGTGGGAGGCAGGGGCCGTCCAAACGTCCCAACCTTGTTCTCATGCCTCATGTAGACTCCAGCTCTGGAGGTTGAGTAGAGAACACTAGGGAAAGATCAGGGACCCCAGAGGAACTTGGGTCTGGCCATCCCTGGGACCCCTCTGTTCCTCCCCAGACAAGGCTGGATAAATAAAGATGCATTTAACAGGATAGGTGAAATTAGCCCAGTTTGGGTAGAAAGACAGCTTCCAAGCCCTTGCTTTTGACCTGTCTCGAAATATTTTCTAAATGCATCAGACAACAACAAGCCGATATAAGGACAGGGGTGCTGACTGCCTCCAAATGCTGTCACGGGCATCATAATGGCTTTGTTTTTCACAGGGAAGAGAAAAAAAAGTTTATGTCTCAAATTAGTAGGTCTGTCATGTTCCAAATTGTTTGCATTTCTAAAAATGGATGTTGACATGTGAACAGTTATTATCTAATGCAAGACCCAAAAATCTGCCTCTCTCAAGGCAACAACGGGGTAGTCAAGGGATCCTCTGCAGACACGTGGGTCTACAGCTCTCTCTCTGGATGCGGGAGTACAATGAGCCCCCCTTCCCTCCCGTGCCCCCGTCAGAGCTCAGGTTGTTTCTGAGCCTCTGGGACCTGGTCATCCCCTCTTCAGAAACCTCAGCCCCCAGAAAGAACCCTAGAGACTTAATCAGAGGGTATCAGCTTCCCAGCAAGATTTCCCTAGTGCAGTGGTCTTCAGAGTGTGGTCCCCAGACCAGCAGCATCGCAATGGAATCTGTTAGCATTGCAGCCCCTCAGGTGCCCACCCAATGCACGGGGAATCAGAAGCTCTGGGACAGGGCCCAAAATCTGGGTTTTAACAGCCCTCCAGGGAAGGCTGATGCTGCCCAAGTGGCCGAAATATAAGAACCACCGAGGGCACACTGTCCCCTCCTACCCGCTCACAGGCACTCACTCACTACCTTCTACCATCTCTTTCTTACTTGTCCTTCCACCTCATTGTCTTCTCCTCATCTTCTACCCACCACAGCTCAGGTCACGGCCCACCTGGGTGACCGCAGGAGCCTCCCGGGGGGGGGGGCCCCTCCAGGCGGCCCGCCCACCTCCAATCCCGTCTCCATTTGGAAATCAACTTTTGAGAATGTAGAAACGGTCCTCCCAGGGAGACAAACCATGAGAGACGATGGACTCTGAGAAACAAACTGAGGTTCTAGAGGGGACGGGGGTAGGGGGATGGGTTAGCCTGGTGATGGGTATTAAAGAGGGCACGTTCTGCGTGGAGCACTGGGTATTATGCACAAACAAGGAATCATGGAACACTACATCAAGAACTAATGATGTCATGTATGGTGATTAACATAACAATAAAAAATTAAAAATATATATCTGGAATTGGCCTCTTCTTCCTCACCTGCTCAGCCACTATCTCCTCAAACCTAAAATAGTCTTGCCCTTTTCCAATTAATTCTCCATTATTTTTCTAGAATGTAAATAAATGAAGTTCTTCTACTGCTTAAAAGCTTTCCATGGCATCCTACTGTTTTCGGATATTTTTTAACCACTACCCTGGCATGCCATTCTAA